GGACGAGGCCGAGCGGGCTCCCCTTGCCCCCCGAGTGTTGCACCGCCCCGGGCAGGGGAGAGACCGGCCTCCGGCCTCTTGCAGGTGGAGGCGAGACGCGGGCAGGGGCAGGCAGGGGCAGCCCCCTCCTCCCGTAGCCCCGGAGGACAGCCCCGACTCCATCGCTGTCGTGGGGCACAGCTGCCCCCTCTACCCCCGGCTGCTTTGTCGCGATTGCAGTGGGAGGACACTGCAAAGGGACGATGCCGTCGAGACCGCGGCCCCATGGAGCAGGGATGCAGAGGGGAGGTGGGAAGCAGAGCCGAGGACCGGGGGGCTGCCCCCCGCCCAGCCCTGCTCATGTGCTTTGACACGGGCACCGTGTGTCCTGTCCTCCTGCGGGCCGGGACTCAGCGGGTGACATGCCACCTCCCTCCACGCAGGTCCCCAGTGAGCCATCAGCTGGGCCACCGGAGCGATGGGCCCTGCTGCACACCGGTAAGGCCCATCCCTGCCCCGTGCCCAGCGAGAGGCATCCCCTGCCCATCAGACCTGCTCTAACCACCTGTCCCCAGGTACAACGAGCCCTGCTGGCGCTCACCGTCCCGCTGGAGACGCTGCAGGTGGTGAAGGGCCGCATGTTGCAGGCCATGTGCAAGGGGCTGAGCCGCCAGACGCATGCACAGGCCAACGTGCGGATGTTGCCCACTTACATCTGCTCTGTGCCCGATGGCACCGGTAAGGCAGCCCGGCCTGGGGATGAGCTGCTCAGATACCTGCAGCCCCACACGCCTCTCTGGACTTGGCCCTAGGGGTGCTGGGGATGGGTGCACTGGTCTCTGGTCAAATTACGGGGTCCATAAGCTGCCCTTGCACTGCCTCTGCCAGTCCCCAGTGCAGGGGAAGAGGCCAGGAGCTGGTTCCCTTGGCCCCTAGGGTGGCGTCAGGCTCTTAGGAGCCTCCCCCATGGGTGAGTGACTGTCCCTGGGACAGGGTGAGGAGCAGATTTTAGGGGATGTGCCACGGGGGAGGTTTCTGCCTGACACTGCCTCCACTCCCCCACAGAGAAGGGTGACTTGCTGGTGGTAGAGCTGTGCCAGAGCCACGTCCGGACCCTGCGGATGACCCTCTCAGGCAATGGGAACCAGAGCCCCAAAGTGATGTACAAGATCTTCGACATGCCAGGGGACATCAAGCAGGGCAAGGGGGAAGCGGTACAAGGAGGCCATAGCAGGGGGTGGCTGGTGCTGGACTGCCTGGCTTGGCAGGGCTCCGGGCTGGTGCTGGGGCCCTGGGCTGCCTCCCGCAGCCTGGGTCCTGCCTAAGGGGAGCAGCCGGTCACCCCCTGCCATGGCTTTGCAGCTCTTTGACTTCATTGCACAATGTGTGCGCCAGTTCCTGGCTGGTGTCAGCAGCCCCCAGCAACGCCTCCCCTTGGGCTTCGTCTTCCCCTTCAGCTGCAGGCAGACGGGGCTGGACAAGGTGAGTGGGCAGCCTTGTCCTGGGGCTGCAGCTGCAGCCACCTCCTCCCCGGCACATCAGAGGTGGGGAGCAAAGCCGGCCTGATGCCGGAGACCAATGGCCCAGCCACATGCTCTCCATAGGCTGAACTCATTTGCTGGTCCAAGGGCTTCAGCTGCAGTGACGTGGAGGGGAAGGATGTTGTGCAGTTGCTGCAGTCGGCCATCAACAAGCAGGAGGTGGGTGACCGTGGGGTGGGGGGGCCTGGCTGGGAGCTCGCCCTGTGGAGCGGCTGATGATGCTCTTGCTTCGCCCCCGGCCAGCTCTGCCATGTGGATGTCGTTGCCCTGATGAACGACACTGTGGGCACCATGATGACCTGCAGCACAGAGGGGGAACCCTGTGAGGTCGCCTTGGTTATGGGTGAGCAGTGGGTACCCCCCATGCCAGGGTAGTGGGTGTGGGGGGGCTGTTCCAGTGCTCACGCCCATTGCTCCCCACAGGCATGAGCACCAACAGCTGCTTCATGGCCGAGGCACAGCAGGTGGAGATGGCAGAGAATGCCAGTGGGCAGATGTGTGTCAACACTGAATGGGGCTACTTTGGAGACGATGGCTCCCTGAACGACATCCTGACCCCCTATGACCAGCGTGTGGACCAGGAATCTGCCAACCCCGGGGAGAAGAGGTGTACCCACCCCCCTAGCTAGGGCAGAGTTCCTGGGGCTCCCTGTCCATCCCAGAGCATGTCAGGCCCCACCAACAGGAACACATGGCCCCCTGTGATGCTCCTGGGTGCTCTCAAAGGGCCAAGGGGTGCTGGGGGGGACACAACTGACTGTGGCTCAGGCTTCACACAGGTTTGAGAAGCTGGTGGGCAGCCTGTACCTGGGGGAGATCGTCCGGCATGCGCTGATTGCCCTGGCTGCTGAGAAAGCACTCTTCATTGGGAGCAGCATTGATGTCCTGAGGACCAAGGATGTACTCAAGACCCAGCATGTCCTGGAGATCAGCAAGTGAGTGTCAGGGGACCAGGAGCTGATGCAGGTGGGAGGATGGGGGGGTGATGGGTGGATGCCCCCAGCTGTGAGCCAGTGGCCCTGTAAGCCAGCGCTGTGCTTTCCCTTGCAGCAATGAGGAAGCTATGGCCAGGGCACAGAGCGCTCTGGAGGCTCTGGGGCTGCAGCCGAGCGAGCAGGATTGCTGCCGGGTGCAGCAGATCTGCCGGGCAGTGGTGAGCCGTGCCGCCGCGCTCGGTGCCGCTGGGCTGGCTGCCATCCTCAGCCACATGCGCCAGAGCCGGGAGCTGGAGCAGATGATGGTCAATGTGGGGGTGGACAGTAAATTGTACCAGGGCCACAGCAGGTGAGAAGGGACACAGGACCCCTGGTGGGGTCCCACCCCTGCAGGGTGCCTCACATCCAGCCCTGGCCATCTTCTGCTACCTCGGTCAGGTTTGGGGAGATCCTGCAGAGCGTGACAGGGCTGCTGGCCCCTGAGTGCAAGGCCACCCTCTTGCCCTCAGTGGATGGGACCGGGCGGGGAGCAGCCATGGTGACAGCGGTGACTCTGCGCCTGGCAGCCCAGCGCCGTGAGGTGGAACAGCTGCTGGCCCCACTGCGGCTCAGCCACGCCGACCTGGAGCGTGTCCAGGTGCTGATGAGGCGGGAGATGGAGCTGGGGCTGGGCCGTGAGAGCAATGCCAACTCCTCCGTCCGCATGCTGCCCACCTACGTTTGCAGCACACCCGATGGCACTGGTGAGGGTCAGGGATCTCAGGAAGGGAGTGCCAGGGGGGCCATGGCCCTGCTGATGCCCTGTGTTGGCTCCCTGCAGAGCGAGGAGAATTCCTAGCGTTGGACCTGGGCGGGACCAATTTCCGAGTGCTGGTGGTGCGTGTGGCACAGGACGGCATCCACATGGCCAGCGAGATCTACGTCATCCCCACCACCGTCATGCAGGGCACCGGTGAGGCGGTGAGGTTGAGGACCTGTGGCCAAGGGATGGGGCAAGGGGGTGGGAATTGCCTCCTCCCTCACTGCCCCGGGGCTGGGGCTGGGGCGTGGACAGCTCCTGTGGCATCTCCCCAGCCTGGGCCCTGCTGACCACAGCCACTCTCTGCAGCTCTTTGACCACATTATCGAGTGCATCATGGACTTCCAGCTGAAGCAGAACCTGATGGACCAGATCCTACCACTGGGCTTCACCTTCTCCTTCCCTTGCCAGCAGTTGGGCCTGGATAAGGTGAGGGGGTGGCTCTGGCCCCAGGGGGATGAGGGGGGCCCCAGGGTGTGAGGCAGCTGCCCAGCCCCTGCTCCTGCCTCTTGTAGGCAGTGCTGCTGAGCTGGACCAAGGGCTTCAGCGCCTCAGGCTGTGTGGGGCAGGATGTGGTCCATCTGCTGCGGGAGGCTGCCCAGCGCAAACAGGTAGGGAAGGGCTGGGGGTCCAGCCTCTGTCCCCGGGGTGCCACCCTGCACCCAGGCGATGCCAGCCCAAGGAGCTGGCTGGGTGACACTAAGACATGTGTCCTTATCTCCGGTTTGGCAGCACTTAGGGCTGAAGGTGGTGGCTGTCGTCAATGACACGGTGGGAACCATGATGTCCTGTGGCTATGAAGACCCCAAATGTGAAATCGGCCTCATCGTTGGTCAGGAGCACCTCTGCACCCAGGGGGTCTCCCATCTCCTCCCCGCCACCCTCAGCCTATGTGGCATGGCACAGGGCTGTGGTAGGGGTGACACCAACACGGGGCCTGCAGGGACAGGGACCAATGCTTGCTACATGGAGGAGATGGAGAACGTGGGCACCGTGGAGGGGGAGCAGGGCCGCATGTGCATCAACATGGAGTGGGGAGCCTTCGGGGACAATGGCTGCCTGGATGACTTCTTCACCAACTTTGACCGGCTGGTGGATGAGAAAACCATCAACATGGGCAAGCAGAGGTAGATGAGAGCCCTGGAGAGGGGAAGGGACTGGGTGGGAGTGGCTGTGCCTCGCTAAGGCTGTGCCCGGGGCAGGTTCGAGAAGCTCATCAGTGGCATGTACCTGGGTGAGATCGTGCGTCATGTCCTGCTGGCGCTGGTGGAGAAACAGGTCCTGTTCCGTGGCAAGCCCTGCCCTAAGCTCCAGACCAGGGACATCTTCCAGACTAAGTTCCTCTCCACCATCGAGACGTGAGTGCTGGGCTGCAGTGGGTTCCCTGAGCCTGGGCTGGGGGGTGTGAAGCCAGAGCCCCAAGAGAGGGGCCATGCTACATGGATGGGGCATGTGCAGGGTGGTGCCATCTCCAGCCCATAAG